TTCTTCATCTGCAAATACTGGCCCTAAGAAAAACAATGGGCCGCCCACGAAACGATTTGCAGAGACGCCGCTGAGGAGTGAGGAAGGGTCGCGGGGGAACTATAGGTTCAAAACCAAGAGGATGAAGAATGGGCATGCGGAAAGCAGCCAGATGTTGAAGACGAATGGGACGAATGAAGAAGTCTTGGCAAAAGATATTACTGCCTTGCTAAAGAGACTGGACTTGGAGAAAGACGAGAACGTAACCCTTCCTGAGCTGAGGTCTGATATCGAAGTTCAAATCAAAGAGATATCTTCTACGGGAGGCGGCCTCGGTATCCAGAAGGATTCGAAGTCTGATCAGGTCTATGTCGTCCCGTTTACGGCACCCGGTGATACGGTATGTTTCAAACTTCAATTGCGGAACTGTAATATCATATCCATACCAAACTTTCTTCCCTCATGTTTCTCAAAACAAGGTGGCTGACTTGGCAGGCCACGGTAAAAGTCTTCAAGCATTTCACGAAAGAAAAATACTCCATGGCCGATATTGTCAAGATTACGGATCCATCGCCCCACAGAGATGATTCACTGGTCAAATGCCGCTACTTCTCAACCTGCTCTGGATGCCAGTTCCAAATGCTACCTTATGACTTCCAGCTGGCACACAAGAAGACCATTGTCGAAAAGGCATTCAAGAACTTCTCAAATTTACCACCAGAGCTCATCCCTGCTATTGGCGACACCATCGGATCGCCACTTCAGTACAACTACCGGACTAAGCTAACCCCACACTTCGATGGTCCGCCTGATTCTAGGAGGAGTGATGGCCGCAACGGTATCAAACGCACGTTCAAGGAACTGCCGCCCATCGGCTTTATGAAAAAGGGGACTCGTATCACCATCGACATCGAAGATTGCCCCATCGGTACCGAAGCCGTGCGCAAAGGCATGAAGCGCGAGCGTACACGTGTTGCAAAGGAACTCCCAAACTACCACAAAGGCGCCACACTCCTTCTTCGCGAAAACACCGAACGCATCCCCAAAGCCGACTTCGATGTCTCCGAGCATGGGATCGATGAAGACGCAGTCATCGAAGACAGGGGCGACTACGTGCTCAAGAAAACATGCATCACGAACCCCAACGCCAAAGCCACCGAATACATCGACTCGTACGCCTTCATCAACCCCGCGGGCGCCTTCTTCCAAAACAACAACTCCATCCTACCGCCCTTCACGCAATACATCCGCGAGAACATCCTACCGCCCCCCTCTCCCTCTCAAAACCCGTCTCAACAACCTCCCAAAATCACGAACCTGATAGACGCCTACTCCGGCTCAGGCCTCTTCACCATCACCCTCTCGGCACTCTTCACCACCTCCCTAGGCATCGACATCTCCTCTTCGAGCATAACCTCCGCCACTGAAAATGCAACTCTGAACCACCTCCCCCAAAGCTCAACCCGCTTCCTCGCCGCCGACGCCGCACAACTCTTCTCTAGTATCACGTCCCCGCCCGACGAAACAGTCGTCATGATCGATCCGCCACGCAAAGGCTGCGACGAATCGTTCCTGCGGCAGTTGGTCGGGTACGCGCCGCAGAGAGTCGTGTATGTGAGTTGTAATGTGCATACACAAGCGAGAGATGTGGGGGTGTTGGTGGGCGGGATGAAGGGCGTGGATGCTGGGTTTGGTGTTGGGGTGGGTGGGTATGAGATTGAGAGTTTGAGGGGGTTTGACTTTTTCCCGCAGACGGGACATGTGGAGGGGGTGGCGGTTTTGAGGCGGAAGGTTAAGGCTGAGGAGGGAGGAGGAGGAGGGAAGGAGGAGGTGGTGACGGAGGGGGCTGCGGATGGGTTGGCTTGATGATGGGTGTGCATGGGGAACGATTTCGAAAGAATGGTGAGGGTTGATATCCTGTTATATACGAGGTTGCTGTCTCTGCACCGAGGGCCTCGGATCCTAGGAACACACTTCCAGTAGTGTTGTTGCGTAGAATCAAAAGTTTACAAGTCATTCATCGAAGCTCTCTTTGCAGTTGATCACCAAGCTGAAACATCACCTCACTGAGCAACAACCCCCAGGCTTCCAAATGTAGACTGTTTATTTGTATTAAACCCTCTCATCTCAATCATCTGAAAATCGCAAAACCATCAGGGTATCAAAGATGAGGTTCCTTCCTTTGCCCATCCTAACCTCCCCCATCCCCAGCTCACCAAATATTAAACCATAGAAGACCGACATAATATAAAACCAAGATAGTCATAGACCCTCTCCTGCTTCCCCCAGGTCTCCAACTCATCCCAGCAGCGTCCTATGCCTTCGCCGGCCTCACGCTCTGCGGATTATGAAAGATATCCTTTGGATCCACCGCCGCCTTGATGCTCTGGAGTCGCGGTAAATTATCTCCCCAATACATCTTCGCGCCGTTATCGCCCAGCGCTGGATCGACGTATCCTGCATACGCCCCCAATTCATGACCGAGCGAGTCCGTCACGATTTTGTTCAAGCCAGTGAGGAAATTGCGGATCGTAGGCGTCACACGCCCGACAAGGTTGACGGCGTACGATTGATGGTAAAACAAGGCATTACGATGGCCGTACGCTGTGGCATCTGGTGCAACGTCGTTGATCGCTCCGCCTTCGAGATCCCAGATGACGAACCACAACAGCGTCCCCTTGTCCACCTTGTCCAGGTACGTGAATAGCTTGTCAACGGCTTCGTCGGAGAGCGTGTCGTCTTTGGTATAAGCCAGTGACTTGGCGTAGAAGTTGGACTGGATGCCTCCGCCGATTTGCAGCCCGACGTCTTCGGCCCAGTGCCCTACGACGCCGAGCCAGTCTTTGAGCACAAGAACGGAGTCAGATTTAGAAGACGGGAGACGCGAGGTTATGTTGAGCGCATCGTATTCGGATTTGGGGCCGAAGAAGGTGCCCGTTATGATGACGCCGAGTTCGGTGAGGATGAACTGGCTGGCAAATTTGCGGGAGAGGTTTGGGTCCGCGATGAGCGCTTGCCATTTCTTAAACGTGTTGGCTTTAGATGCGGCGTTTCCGGCATTGATGGTGTAAGTGTAGAGGACGGATTCGCTGGGCTCGGCTTGTGTGCGGACTTTGAATTCGGTGATGATGCCGAAACTTGCTCCGGCGCCCTTGAGGGCGAAGAATACGTCGGTGTTCTCTTTTGAAGAGGCGCGGATGATGCTGGAGTTGGCAAGCACGACTTGCACTTCTTCAACGTGGTCGAGAGCTGATCCCCACATGCGGGATGTTGGGCCCAGGCCTCCGATGGTGGCATGCCCGCCGATTCCGACCTGGGGACAGGTGCCATGCGCCATAGCTCGCTTTCCATTATCATGGAGTCGCTTTGTAACGTCGCCTAGTAGGCTCCCACCACCGATGGTGGCTTGCCATGTGTTCTTGTCAATGGAGAACTGTTGGAAGTTCTTCAAGTCCACGACTATCACACCATCTGCACCGCCAATTCCTTAGACATCGTCAGCTCAACGCTCTTTGGTTCAGTGAGCTTGGATGAGAGATTAGTTACCATAGTTTGCATACGAGTGACCTCCACTCCGCGGTTGAACTTTGAGGTTGTAGTCCACGGCGCACTTCACTATCGCAGCTACATGGTCTGCAGTCTTGGGATACGTGACCGCCGCTGGAGTAATATGAATATCGAGATTGTACGGTTTGACGTGATTGAGTTGGTACAGAGGGTCACTTTTGAATGCCAGAAGTCCCGCGTTCCCTCCCACCGCGCTGCTCAGACATTGGGAAACAGCGTTGCTGCTCGGGTTGTTCCCCATCGTCCCTGAACTATCTCACCTCTTGGCAACTTGAAAGTGAGAAAGTAGGAAGGAAACCCGCAAGAATGGAGATGAATGAATGAAAGACAGTTGCAACTGAATGCAAGCCAAATTTCCGTGCCATGGGATACTGCCAGCTTTTGTTTGAAACAACAGAGCCGGTGGCGACCCGGGCCCTGGCAGGTGCACATGGACAAGCAAACGCGCCTTCCAATCGAAAGACACCCGCCCACATCACGACACGAATGTGAAGGACAAGCGTGGAATTGAGCGGAGACGCTGGTCGACTGCGACTGTGCGGCGTCACTGGTTGTTGGCGATTCCTTCCAAGGTTGAACATGGAGAGACTCGCCCAATCACACGGCGCGGTTCATCAAGTTAAATTAGGGCTTAACAAGGGGGAATACACATCAGGATGCATGCGAGCAGAACGTGGTGAGCTGAGTGCCGGAAACGAAGCATTTGGGCAGGTGGATGCGTCCTCTGGAATCCGACGACTTGGAATATAATGGTGGCTGATAGGAGGAAATGGGCACGCATCTGACAGGCCTCAGGCTTCCCCAGTCTTTCATGCTTGGCAGAGTGATGCAGTGAAACTAACAATTATGCGAAGGGGAAAACTACCTCGGTGCCAAAAAAGAAACCCTTTGCGCCCTCCCTACTCGGTACATTTTAGGCTGTTTTGAGCTCTTGGTGCAGTGTGTTCAGCTGTTCTTCAATCCTCTTGCTTCCTTCTTCTCAGGAGAAGCGAGGGGGGTGTCAAACCACCGTGAGCGGATCCTCTGATGACCAAGACTCCCGACCCCGGATTGAAAAATTGCCTTCGAGAGACATTACTTACAATGCCGAGAAACTTGTATTTTCAACAGAGCTTACATTCAGTTCTAAAAGTACTCTCTAAAGTGGGGATAGCCCTTCCAAGCTAGGTATAGCCGCTGTGTACCTCAGAACCGAATATGATCCAAAAGCGTCCATAGATGTGACCCCTGAAGCCGGTAGGAAACATTGCAGTAGTTACTCTCGAAGCGCACCGCCCTGTATCAGCGTTCTGTAGTGCTGATGAGACAGTATGCATCTCAAATGCTGAAAACAACGTGCCCGACCACCAGCTATACAAGTAATCCAACATCTCTATTCGCCAAAAAAAGTCGTTCGGCCCAGTGATGCAAGCAACCAAGCCTTGCCACACCGTTCAGCAAAATCGTAAAAAGAAAGGGCCGAACCGGAGTCGAACCGGTGACTTCGGGAAGGCGGCAGTAGCTGCAGTCCTACACTCTACCACTGAGTTACCGGCCCGTTTTCTTGTTGGATGATGTGAGAGGATGCTATTATAATATATAACTAGAAGTATTTGTGGGAACCAAGGCTACAACTTGGAAACTTTGGAAAGTAGAGTTGAGGCTCCGGGGGATGTTCAGGTAGGCGGGGAACACTTACATGGGGGTAAGGCGGGTCCTTTGTGCCAATCCGGTCTATTCAGATCCAGCCGAACCAACTTGTCTGACCCCATCCCAATCAGAGCTCACCACGAACGCGTCAAACATACTTCCTTTTCAGAACTTCAGAGTTGAAGCGATGTTCAATTTGTTTTAAGCCCTTAGATTACTCGCCGCGCGTTGTGTAACAACATCATTAGACCGTGGGTTTTGCTACTACCACATTCCTAAAGACTTCTTTCTCAACAATTCCGGCATATTTGGTTGGTATAATAGTACAGAACATGTTCTTAAGTGCTTCGCAGCTGCCTGGCATCGTAGCACTCAGATCAAAGCTCATGGTCGAAAGACACATCCCGAGTCCACCACCTCGTAATAAGTCCGTTCTCCTCATTCCTCATAGCTTGCATAGTGCGTCCGCTTCAATTATTATCCTCGTCTCCCTCTACTAGGTAGCCATCTCTCTCGTGTTCTACTCTTTTGTAAAAAGTCCGTCATACCAAAGCCCAATCTAGTTTAATATCCACCCTTGCATTTCCGTTCCGATCTCCGTTCCTTTACAGCATGTCCACGTAAAGGCCGTCCAAATGCATCCTTCAAGTCGCACATCTTGCTCTATTCCGGATAAATGTACAGTGGATTGTGTCTATTCGGGTGGTGTGTCTGTTAACAGCAACATGTTCGAATACGAACTGGGACTTTGCGCTCTTATAAGATGTAAGAGATGCAGTCCTTCTGGAAAGACGACAGAGCAAGCTACTACAGAGTCAAGAATCTGATTAAAATTTTCACAATGAAGCCTCTCTTCTCTATCCTCCCTTTCCTCCTCCTCCTCCTCCTCCTCACACCCTCCATAACGGCAATCGAAAACGACTGCTCAATGGCCGTACGTCCCCCCTCTCATTACCCCATCCAACCCACCCCTAACACCCCCAGGACACCACCCCCTGCGACTGCACCTTCACCACCCCACCCACCGATCTCAACTACCCCAACCGCACATTCATCCTCCCCGGCACTGACTGCCGCGTCTGCCGCGTCGTCGGCCAACTGAACTGTGTCCTCTGGGGTTCCTCCGGCACGCGTTACGGCCCCCTCTGCGAAGACTCCACCAACACGTTCCCCGCAAAATGCATCAGCAACTGGAAGCCCAAAGTACATGATCGCTTGCCGTGTCCCGTCCCCGCTGGAGACTGTCATTGCAAGCACATTAATAGTACGGGGACGTTTACGCTTCCGCATGAGGATACGTTGGAAGGAGCGGATTTTTGTACGGTGTGTCCGAGGGGCGATGAGTTGTGGTGTACCGAGGCGGGAAATAAGAGGAATGGGTATGGGCCGTTGTGTAGTGGGGGGCGTTTGAGGCCGACGTGTGAGGGGAAGGGGTGTTACTGTAATTGGATGACAAGTTTAACGGGGAGTAGTTGGCGGAAAGAGTAGATGTATGGTTGTGGGAGTGCGAGCTATGGTTTGGGGACATGTCACGAGGGCTGGAGAATGTTATAAGAGTATAGTACCGTGGATTTTATGTGAAGCTACTTAAAAAACTATCTACTCTGTATCAGATACGGAGAGAAGTCCACTTGTTCGCCTCATTCGATTATGAAGGGGCTACTGGGGGCGAGGCTCCGATACTAAAGTATCAAACTCTACCTGTTCGCTGAGGTGCTACTAAGAGTGGGCCGTGGTACCTAAAGGCACACAGAACCACCTTGTCGCTGAAAACGTTGGGAACTAACAAAAGTGGACTCGAGTACTAACAGGTAAACGAAGCCCATCTGTTCGCTCCATGTGATGCGAGTCGCCAAGTAAAATTACACTGTAAATTGCGTGCCATGCTATACCATACCATGCACCAGACAACCACCCGGAAAACTCCATGCAATACCGACCGTCCCGTTCAACCCCATCGAGGATGAAGTATGCACCTAGGAAAATAGAGGAACATACAAGAAGGGAAAATAAACGGGCAAGGGCAGAAAGCAGGGAAGTTCTCGCACCTTGTGATGGGCTCAACGCCTCCCACCACAAGCCCCACGTTGGGGCCGACTAGAAATGTGAGTACCATATTCTCTTAAGATGTGAAAGAAACGCAGGGTAGTCGTGATATCTTACACAACATTATATCTCCCCGTAGCAGCACGAGGACCTGCGGCAACAGCAACATCTTCTGTAGCCTCACGCAGAAGACGCGTAAGCTCGGACATAGCACTATGGACTGAATTCTCTGTGTCGCCCTCGACGAGGATGTATAGCTTAGGTTGGTCGGTCTCGCCAGGAGTCTTGCCAGGCGGCCAGAAGATACCTTTGCTGGTGATGGAGACACCCGTGCTGTCCAGGATCTTGGCAACATTTGTACGATTGGTTACTGCCCAACGAGCCTTCTGAGGAAAATCATTGATCTCGATGGTGGAATGGAAAGCACCAGCATCCGGACCTTTGTTGTCGATGGGCTGACCGTGGTGGATCGTTCCCTTCTTACTAAGACGAGAATCGACACCCGCCGCCGCTGCTCGCACCTGCTCCCGAACGGTCATGGGTTTGGCATCTGGTGGTGGACGCTCGGTCTTGTTGACGACGATCTTATTATTGAGTAGCTTCATGTATGAGGGGATATCGTCATCGGGGGTGGCGGCTGCGGGAGCAGAGGCCGTGGCATCAGCCGCGACAGGAGCTGGTTCATCCTTCTTCAAGGCTGGAAGATCCAGTTCCTCGTCGCTCTGATCATCATCGGCCTCGTTCTTGAAGGCACGTTTGGCGCGCATCTTCTCTGTAGCACGCTGAAGTTCCAGCTTGTCAAGACCTTTGCCACCGAAGCCCGCGTCAAACCATTTTTCTTCTCCAGCATCAATCTTCTTCTGAAAGTCGTTGCCCATTACGAGCAGGTCATCCGGCACGACTTGTTCGCTCTGCTTCAAAGCCTTGATGAGATGGAAGGAGAATCGTTCTTCGCCGGGCCGCTCGATAAGTGTGACGGCGGTACCAGTGTTTCCAGCACGGCCAGTACGTCCACATCGGTGCACGTAGTCCTCTAAATGTGTAGGGCAGTCATAGTTGATGACCAGCCTCAGTTGAGGAACATCCAGCCCTCTAGCAGCAACAGATGTAGCGATCAGAACAGGGGAAAATCCATTCTTGAAATCATTGAGTGCGTCAACACGGTCAGAAGCATCTTTCCCGCCATGGATGGCATTGCAATTGTATGAGGCTTTGATCAGCTCGTTGAGGATATCTTCAGCAGTTTCTTGGCGCTCCGTGAACACAAGGGCCCGGACATCCTCGTCATCGGCGAAGAGCTGGCCGAGATAGTGAAGAACCACGCGCATCTTCTTCTCTCTCCCCGGTGCAACGACTTTCACAATCTGCGTGATTTCTGGAGCAACAACGCTTCGTCCGCCGATCTGAACCTCCACGATACCGTTGGTGTATTTCTTGCTGAAGGACGACATGTTCTTCGGAAACGTTGCAGAAAACAAAAGCGTCTGACGATCGGGGCGCGTGTTGTTGAGAATCTTCATGACTTGCGGCTCAAAGCCCAAATCAAACATACGGTCTGCTTCGTCAAGAACGACATACGTGATGCGCTTGCAACTCAGAACGCGGCCGGAGTTGGCTTGGAGAAGATCGATAAGACGGCCGGGAGTTGCACAGATCACATGGATGCCACCTCGCTTGATATTCGCGATATCATCCGAGATGGGGCTGCCACCGGTTGCACTGACAATCTTGAGCTTGGAAGCCTTGAGGAACGGCTTAAGCTCAGCGACGATTTGCACCGCAAGCTCCCGGGTCGGTGCAAGAATCAAGCCAATTGGACCATCGCTGGACTTCAGGGGCGGCTGGTCGAGAATATGACGGATAATCGGAACGCCAAAAGCGAGTGTTTTTCCTGAACCGGTCTTGGCGATTGCGATCATATCAAGTCCTGACTCGGCGATTGGAATGGCCTGGCTCTGAACAGCGGTCGGAGTTTCATAACCCAAGTTCTGGAAGATGTTCATGGTCGATTGGAGCAGGCCCATCTGCGCCCACTTGGTCACAGGTCGGGGAATGCTGTCGCCCTTGACTTTGATGTCGTCCAGCATGAAGCGCAACTCGGTTACTTGTTCCTCTGTCATTGCAGCAACGTCGGAAGGCTCCGTATAGAAGTTCTTTCGGAATGGTGCATACTCCACCTTGGAGTGATCCACCACCGGAACCTCTTTGCGCTTCTTCTTGGTAGTTGACACCGCCATGAAGTCCTCGTCCTCGACAGCATGTTGGTCCGGCTCAATGTCCTCAACGAACATGGCCTGTCCTCGGTTCAGTCCGCTAATGGTGCTAGCTGTGTGCTTCTCGTTCAGTCCAGCCATAAATGCATCCAGGGGGTCGTCAATGTCCATCTGCTCAGCACTCTCCACGGGAGCCGGGGCATCCTCCATGAGTGAATCGCCGCTGGTAAGTGCTGCTCGTCGCGCCTCCAGCCGGGCTTGGGCTTCCGCATTAGTGGCGGTATCCTCTTCACTATCGATATCACGCAAGGTTCCCACGTCCTCCTCTGGCTCATCAGGCAGAGGATTCTCCTCGGGGACGAAATCGGGCAGCGCTTGGAACTTCCGTTTCTTGGTTACCTCCTCATCGTCAAAGAGACCACGAGAAGCGACCTGTTCGGAAACAGCCTTGGACTTCTTCAATCCTGAGAAGGTGAGGCCCCCTTCCGGGCCTGAGGGTGTCAGCATATTTCGGGAAAAATGCCAAATATACATCGACTTACGTGGGCGTGCAGCAGCGTTATTGGAGTCTTCAACGATCGGCCGCTCTACAGCTGGGCCAGAGCGAGCAGGAAGTCCCTTGATGGCGCCGTCGAGGAGCTTGATCTTC